GGCGCTGAACCGGTTTTATTCAAGCATTCATCAGTGGTTTTGTATGAGCTGTATTCGACCAGCCATTAACAATTTAGAAGCAGATATCTTCAAGCGGAGTTCAGTGGAGTTGCTGTTGTGACAGCTGCATGTCTTCAAGAGTTCATCAGCAGTGCCATGTAGATGTCCTAGAGCGATCATTAGCGGTCTTGTATCGAATATCCTCAAGCGTTAGCAGTGTTACTGTAGCGGTTGTGTTGAGGCGTTCATCAGCAGTTTGGTAATGAATGCCTTCAACCTTTCGTTAGTGGTGTTGTAACGGTTGTATTTAAGGGTTCATCAGCAGTAACGCAGCGATTGAATCGTAGAATGGCGTCTCATGGCCACATATGGGTTGTAGGGATTTGCAAAACATGGGTGGAAACGTATATACGTATATATACGAGGGCTGGTTGATCACAATGGAATGAAGACCCCAGACATCCACACTGTATTCAAATGAGGCAGCTGTTAAAGCTTTGATAATGTTCCACTCCGTTTTTCATGGCACAGTGATGGCCTTCGTATTGAGATTTACTACCTGGCTCTTGTCAATAAGCTGATATGCTCCTCATGCAGAGCACTTTGTATTAAGCTGATCTAAGATCAATGATTCTCTGTTTAATTCGAGTATTTTTACACTGCAAGGGTAAGTGTTCTTTGATTACGATATAAAATAATGGACTTAAAAAATTTACTGAAGTCGAAATATTCAGCTGATCTCAATATCGTTTTCTTTTACTTATCTAGCCGTATAACTCTCCAAGCTGCTTTACTTAAGTCATTAAGTTTTTTCTACCTTAAAATCTTAAAAAGCCAGAAGAGAGCCTCAAAGATATAGTAATGATTTTTATCAAATTTGGCATGGATGATCTATTTGCCATGTGAGGGTCATTTTGCCAGTCAGTGTTTATGTTCTACACTCGATCTATTCGGAGCAAAAGAATAAATACTCTGATATTGATGGTCCGACATAGATATCTTGTCAAAGTTTACTCATCACTCAGAAATTACATATCACTTGAAGGTTATCACTGGAAATAGTTCGTTTATATCCAGGAAAAATGTTCACTTTTGGCCCCCTAGTTTTGGACCACGATGCCCTTAAAAATTTAAGTCTAAGCATTAATTTTTTGCACAGCTCCAAATAAAATCATGCCCTGGGTGCTCATGGAATACCAATTTTGTTACTAGATTCAACGGGTTTGCTTTGCCGAGCTGTACGTAGTTGCTTTTGTTGTTGTATTTGTTTTCCTTGATCCTGCAGGTGGGCTGTAAGGTCTAACTTACTATTGCCATGATCAAGTGTAATGCGTGGATCTTAGTTTAGAATAGCGGATATATTACTTTTTAAAGCGAATTTTGCCAATCAAAATGCATTAATTTCGCAAATTAGCTGAATTTAAATCATGCATTTTGATTTGCGAAACGCACCCAAAAAATCTAACTGAATGAAACATTATTTTTCATCCGTTATTCTTCAATACATCGAAATACTAAAGAACACGACAAGTCAACATGACTTACAGCATTAGCAGATTAGAAATTTTCCTGAAAACTTCCTTCGGCAAGTGCTTCAGTTTGTTGTTTGAGAGCGTGCTGCAACAAAATATAAGTCAGTTTCAACTCAAAGCTAACAGTAACACCATCATCTGATTTTTACCGAAACGGTGTCAAAAAAAAAAAAACCGAAAGAGAAACTCTTGGTTGAAAATAAAACAAAGTCAATATCTCAAACTCTTGCGTAAATCTGACTGAAAATCAATCTATACAACATTTTCAAATACATTAAATATGCATTCATTGGTTTTTCAGATTCTAATTAGTTACAGAAGTATTTTTATGTCTAATGAAATCTCTTATAAAATTACAGACGACCATAAATATTCTTGTCTCTAGTACAACTTCTCGTACTTTCGGGAGTCATTATGCCACCTCCAAATTCAAACAGAAGCCAAATTTGACGCCTAATTATATACCTGAATAAAAATTGCGCGCGTCTATTTAGCTCAAAACGATTGCACTTTTCATACAACATTAGTGCAAAGTTGTAACACGAGTGAAAATTACAAATAGCGCGCGCGCTGCCAAAATTTCGTACGTCTTGACTTTCTGTGGTGCGTTTTTCATGTAAGTCATCAACAAGACTAACAAGTAACGACATAATTTTGGGTGCAATTTGGTGTAAATAAGCACACTTGTAAATTTTCCAGACCACATATTACACTCGTCCTACAGGCTCGTGAAATTTTGTTGTCTTTGAAAATTTATTAGTGTTTATTAACACCAAGTTGCACTCGAAATCATGTCGTTACCTAAACTTATATGATGTATTAAGAACTTACAGTTTGCCTGTACTTTGGGGAATTTTCTCTGGAACTGACATAAGCTGTTTCGTTCCACAGTCGATCGATACTAAACTCCTCATGTTACCTTTAAGGACTTTGCATTGGCACTGTTGAGGGCACTCTGACAAACAAAAACAGGCTTCTATTAAAAATTGATATTTGAATCATATCTGTTTTCAATCGATACCTTGTATTCAAAGATACTATTAACCGGACGGACGTGGAGACCTCGACCAAGGACGATTTCGAAAGCGAGCTAAAAGCTGATACTAGCCGCATCGCAGCCTGCGATGTACCAGTGTACCTAATGTACCAGCAATATAAAAAACGCAACGTTGTTTGCTGAGAAAGAAATGCAAAATTCCACAAAAACCCGAAAGCTGCGAATCATTCGATGACGATCCATTCTTGCCCGGTAATTCGAGCGAGATTTTTTTTCTTTATCTCTTAGTAGAGGGAGATGGGTTTGTGATTGACGTATGAGTCAATCAAAGAAGGTTTGCTCAGAGAATACCAGTTTGATGCTACCGCCGCCAAAAATTAGAAATGCAAAATTTGTGCCAATTTTTTAATCTCGAAAAATTGGCAAATATTTGAATTCGCTTCAGTGCGACCCGGCCCTTTAATTCTTCAATTTCAAATAGATCCCCAAATAGACCGACCCACTAATCCTCTAGTTCCTCAGCTATACTGACCGAAAAACGGCTCTCACTTTTCTAAACATTGATTTTATTGCGTACACTGCCTCTTGCCTGGTCGAAGTAATGGAAAATGCCTTCAGGTTAGCAATGGGTACCTTCAAGTAACCACTTTTTAAATAAAAATTGACAACAGAAGTTTGCATCACTTTCTGGTCGCTACATTCGAGCTCAGGGGAAAACCCGCACTGACGTCACCTTGCCACTTTTGCAAGTTGTTTATTTATCAATTCTGAACGATTTTGCGATTATTCAATAGTTTGAACAGCACAGTTTTTAATGGCATCACAGCAAAAATCTTCAAATGCGGATCGACTGCAGACGGTTTTATTTTCAACACGCTTTGTCACGTGAGAAAGGGAAAATCAGTTCGCCATTTTCAATGTTATTTGGATTAGTTTCACAGCTTGATAAACGGATGAAAAAATATTTATATACAACAATTCAATTTTTTAAATTTTTTAAACTTACATAAATCAATTAATAATGGTCATAAAACGATGAAAACCAAACAATAACAAAATTATGAGGAATAGATTACTTGAGACCTACTTTAATTTTCTCTCTAACGTGGAGAAAGATCAAGGGATTATATATTTCTTTGACAAAGCCGCTCTATGGAGTTCTTCCTAATTGGTCTATTAATCCCCCAAATAATAATAACATGATTGCATATCTGACTTCCAGTACAATTTCAAATTCGAGGCCATTTCTATTCCTTCTTTGGCTGCTAAGTTAGATACAACGACTGTTACAACTTCGTCTTCTCAAGACTTCCTTCACAAAAATTGGTAAGAAAAACACTGCACCAGAAAGCATTAAAAAAATAATCTGTTTAGAGCATGGCGGGCGTAATCTATTTGTGACTAGATGGTATCTTACACAAGAAAATCAACGTTGTTTGTTGAAAGCCAAAACAGTGGCTACAAAACAGACGTAATTCTTGTAAACTAGTTGTCTCGTTGTCATGGTGCATTGAACAAACGCCGCTCTCTTAGATGCAGCGCTTTTCAATATCCTTGCTCTTACACGTCGCGCTTATTCTTGGGCAGTGCCTAATCGAGTCAATAATTTTTAAAAAGCAAAAAAACTAACCTTTTCGATAATTTGAGAAAAGAAACTTAGGGTGTTAAGCTCTGGAAAGATCAAGATCACACATGTCACGGTGCATCAAAGGAACGGAGCTTTAGTTCATCAGATCAGTTACCATGACAGCAGGCGCGAAATTGTAGAGCGCGTCAGCGGAATCGCGCGCTAAATTTAGAAACAAAAACAAGATGGCCGTCGCGGATAGAGCAGCTGTTGTTTCGTGAATAGAGGAACTTTCCGATGACTCAATACTACAAGAAGCGAGAAGTTGTGGAGATGAAGAATTTTTATTGTTTCTTTTGATAAGGGAGAGGCAGCGCCATCTCCGCACTGAGAATTATTTCGAACGTATTAAACCACTCTACATTGTTTTAGATTTTTTTGTCATTTTCGGATGTCAAGAACTGCAGTCAGCTGTTTGGAACGTCTGTTAGCTACTTGCCTAAGTCTGCCTCATGGACAAAGGAATGGGGGGAGACCAAGCATTGACTTACTGAACCAAGTATTGATTACGATATGGATACTTGGGAACCCTAAATGCCTGCGATCAGTGGCCGATGGATTTAACATTAGAAAATCGATTTTACTTCGTGTTTATCGCAGAATTTGTGGAACGATTGCCAACAATTTTTCCGGTCAAGATATGAAGTACCTACTTGTTTAAAACTGAGCACCGCTGGGCAAAATGATTAATTTCGGATCCTTCGCCCAAAGGAACGCTTTGGGTCAATGATCGAATGATCCGTCTTTAGATCACATAGATCACTGATCCAATGAATCCTTGTCCAGAGTGGATTTGATAGATCACTGATCTGAAAATGGATTTGCTTGAATGGAACGCCACAAATCAGATATCCAGATCCGGATTCTCCCAATGGAACGCACCCTTAGTTATTTTGTGTTTTATATCATAAATGTGACTTTTCATGTTACCCTTGAATAAAATTGTAGAAGGTTTCATTCTAAAACCAAAAATCCTTAAATTGACTCAAGACAAAGAGTAAGGTTTACCAAAAGCATACACAACAACTGAGCCCCCTTGAAGTAAAGATGTAATTTGAGACTTACTCTCGACAGCAAGACTGATGTTTTTCCTCTTCATTCGGCCATGGTCGTCCACTTCGCAGCTGTAAGTTGTATTTCTCTCTTCTTCAGTGACGTTGATTTGAAGTCGCACACTAGTGCTGTTTTGCAAAACAGCGCCATTCTTTCTCCAAACAATGCGAGGAGCTGGTCCACCTTCCGCCGGGCACCACAAAGATGACGAATGGTCGAGCAGAACAAACTGTGTCTTTGCGACGTTTCTCAGGTTGGTGGGAACTAAGCAGAAACATAATAAGACATTTCATCCACAATAAATTATACCGCTAAGAAAATCAAATGACTTAAACCTAAGAATACCTACCTCTTGCACTTAGTGCTTTTCCCTCATAATATCTGAACGATAGCTGGTGTCTACGGGTAGGTGAAAATCTTAACCACATGTTCTGTCCACTGGAACGTATTTTAAAGCGAGGAATGTATCTTCCACAAAATACACCCAAAAGATTTCCAGACTGATTATACCCATCACGGATCTCAAGATATTCCTCATCAGCACAAGGTACTTCAGGTGAATTATAGTCCATCTTTAGCTCCAATTCTACTTCCACGTATTGCCCTTTTTCTACTTGAAGACGGTGGGTTGTATCAAAGCTTGGGAAATATCGGGAGTATACCTCCGCGATTATTGCAACTGAAACAAAGAAAATAATTTCTCAGAAGAATAAGTATACATACTTTGCACAATTAGTTCATTAATGACTGTCTATCTCGATAAATGAGAGTATAAACTCATGACAAACTTTGAGATTAACCTTAAAGGAAAATTTTTCCTGTACTTTTCTGTTACACCTGAAATATGAGAATTATTCATACTTCATAAATCAGTGAGCATGTCAAACTCCTATGCCAGTAATTAACAACTGATTTATACTGTGCCACAAGAGTCAAATGTCCCTATGTGGTCTATGTGGTAAGCATGGATTTCACACAAAATCTTCACGCAAATAACGATGTTCTTGTCAAGAACTGTTACGAATGGCCCTTGGTTAGGCTTGGATAGCTTCCGTTCGCATAATAGTTTAAACTGCCAGACTGCAATGCTCATCAGTAAAACTGCATAGTTTGCTCGAAATCTTGAAGACTCTTAAATTACGCTCTTAATTACCCTCGGTGGCCGAAAAAAGTCGTTCCTTTGGATTGTACGTATTTTTACAAATATGGATGGTAGCCTTGGCCTAAAATGTAACATTATTTATGACTAATTTATGGAGCATATAAATCCCTCAAACTTAACAAAATATTATTTCTTTGCTCAGTCGTAATATTCAAAATGGAGGAGCTGCTAAAAGACATCAAGACCGTAAAAAAAAAAATTATCAAGGTATACAATAAAAGACTTGCATTTAGAACCAATGAATTTCACTGAACTTTCCTACAAATATTCTGCGTATAAATTATGTTACTGATGTCCCTTAGTTTTGCCCATATTTTTAGGTGAACTTGCCGAAAAAATACTCGCCTCGAACATTGCTTATTCCTTACAATTCTGTCGATAGAATTGATCCAAGCATACCCTCGGCAAATCAGAATAATCTCTGCGTTAAAACTTTTCTCACAACCAAAACTACTCTGGATTTTGATGCGACATAAGAACCATAGTGTGCTTGTGAAAACTGCACGTCTTAAACAACTGTAACCGACTTACCCAAAACAAAAGTGAAAGTCCACATGTTAGACATCTTTCCTACAAAAAAAAAAAGAAAAGAGGATGACAATAAATTCAAAGGTATCTTATCTGTAAGCCTTAACTCTGCACCTCAGCATATCTATACGTTGTATACGTCGCGATTCAGTATCATTATTGACTTCGATCTTACTTTCTTTGTCTCATGATTGAACCATAATATTTATGCTTTAACGACTAAGCGCTCCCCTGGCTACTGTGACTATATCATACGGAGAATGTTTTCACTATTTTACTATTTTATTCAACTTATACAATACTGGAAGTGTTTAAGTTGTTTACATCACAGTTCAAAATGGAACGTACAGGTTCGTTAATATTCCTGCAATAAACATTGTTCGTTTCAAATTTTTAATGCTGTTTCCAAAAATTTCTTGTTATTAAGAGACTTATGGCAACATCTGGCATATTTCCATAGACTACTATTTTATCATCGTATCACACCTATCCCAATTCTGGTAGTATTCCATACAGTGTTCTTTGTGAAAAAAGTTGAGTCGGCAGCTGAGTAACAATTTTAACAGAATTATTGAAAATTCTTCGTCGTCATAATTTTATTAAGGAGTCAATTGCTCATATAACGACACAAAAAGTTATGTTCTCTTATGCTGGCTTTTTGTTTCCTTTTATCTTTCTCCTGCAGTGTAGCATAAGACTCTACTTAAATCAATTTCATCAACAGTTATAACACAAAGCTACAAGATTACCTGAATAGTGTTTGTTTCACTTCTCCGCTAAAGTGTTTTTATGCTGCAGTCGCATTTACCAACACAACAAATATTTCACTCTCGTATACATATATAAAACCTTAACAGGTGTCTCAAGCTGGTGGGGTTATACGTAAGTTGCTCAAGTGGGGGCTCGACATATATTTATCTCAGCCTCTGAAGAAGAGTTTTTCAATGTATTGAAGAAATCTGAACTGGAAAAGAAAAGATAAAAACAAAAACAGTGTTCACAAAATGAAGTCAGCCTCTGGCCCCTCTAGTCATTTCCTCTTTTTTTAATAGTTAGCATTTCAAATGTCTCAGATTTATTTTGGAAAGGAAGTTTTAAAACCCGCCAATACTTCATCGTACTTTGTGAATCAAAATATTTATACCTTCAACTTTGTAAACTGAAAATCGATTGCAAGACTCGGTGTCTTAAGTTAAGCATTGTTCACATGCAAGACTAACCTTCAATATAATTTTAAATTATATTTTAAAAAAAAAACAGTAATATTATATTAAAAACAAGCTCGGTAAACAAGCTTGTTGTCCTCTTTCCAAGAACTAACACATGAAAAATTGTCACGTGTTAACAAATACATAAATCATTAACTGGTCCTATGTACTGGTAACTTCTATTTTTTGTCTTCTGTTGTGAAATGACGTTCATTTGCAAGGATTTCGCATATGGTGCAGAGAATCCAGCTCTCATCTTCATCTTTATCGCTCTCTTAATTCGCACAAATTCCTAAGGATATATCTCGTGCGGCCATCAAAAGTTCACATGTCAAAAACTGAAATGAAGTTGAGAACGTCTGAGTCTTGAAATTTAATGCCCCTTTTTTATATTTGCCTTTTGAAATCGAGAAATTAAAACCCCGCAAAATTTCGTCTCCCCAAATCGCAAACTTAAGTACCCGCGAAATTTTAATAAAATTTAAAATTACTAAGTTAAAAGTACTCGTAATTCTCAATTTTCTTTTTTCGTTTGTGTGAAGACTTTGGGAGGCCGTGGAAGATGTCACTGTAATGTTCTCATATTTTGTTGCACTTCCTCTCCTACCGAAGAACTTGACGCAGAATTCAGTTGTTATTATTATTGGCCCAACTTTCTCATTTCTGATCAGCTTAACAGGAAATTTCATATAGAAATCAGGCTTGTTGACAATTTTAAGTTGTTGAAAATTGACTTATCAATAAAAAATTCATTTAAGTGTACGCATGCGCGTATGTCTGTATGTCTTTACTCCTTACTCATTAGAAATATTAGTAAATTTGGAATCTTTCCCAAAATGCCACATTGTTATCCGCAAAACGGGACCATTTCTGTCATGAGAGGAGGTGAGGACATAATACAAAGACTCAAAGAAAAAAAGAGAAGCTCTACCATAAGCATAAGCAGCCGAGACTTAAGAATTTTAATCAGAACTTTCCGAGGGAAAATTGGACTCTAAAAAACCGGGAATTGTTTGACTGAATAGCTATCATTTTATTTGATAGAGGGCGGGGGAGGGACAAGGAATACTTGGAAATAACGATTGACGAGAGTAGGGGTCAAAAGGTATAGTCTAGAGGTTCTCTTAAAGGAACTTTCCCTGTTAATAACCAATTACAAAACCATATAAATGTACAATTGCAAAACGAAAATCCTTTGGTTACTGAGACAAAAAAATACGTCCACCGTATATCATAAAAGTGAACTTCTGTTTGCTGCTAAAAATATCATGCGATTGTCTCCCGGCCTTATAATGAGGAATGCATGCCTAACGTCGCCAGATTTGCCAACGCAAGACTCATTCTATTCTAAAATCAGTTGATAAAAAAAGCCCACACAGATGTTTAAAGCTGCTCAAGGAGGCTGTCTCATTTTAAATTCACTTTGGGTTGTTTATGTATCCATAATGCTTTTTTAAATTTACTAGTTTGGGCTAAAATAATTAAGTCTATAAGACCAGGGTTAAAATAGTCAAATACCTATATGATGCCATAGAAAATTTTTGTAGGAAAGTTGAACATGAAAGCATTTCAAAGAACACAAAATAAAATTAAACCCAGTCATCAGTTTGTAGCCACAGTAAATAATAACTGTGGCTATGATATATAATGCACATTTCCATTCAGAATAATCTTAAAACTCAGATATGTTATTATTTTTTATTTTTCAAGATTTAGCAGTAAAGTTTGTTGTTAACTAATCCTCCAAGTTCGTTGATACTATCAGGCGGCCGTTATCCTTAGAATTAAATATTCAAAACTGTAGTAAACAAAATTAGACAATCATCTTTTACTTCCATATGTTTAGTTAGAATTTAAATAACAAAGGGATTTTTCCATCATAATCTTATCTTTGGGAGAAACCTTTGAAAGATGTCAACGAAGCATGTTATTTTATTTTTCTGTTGATTTACTTATTGCAAAAAAAAAGTTCAATGGTTTATTCTATTAAATTTCCTAGAACAAAGAAACAAAAGGTGAAGCTGGTATTCTTGCACAATTAACAATCAAAACTTAAAAAATAGATTATTAAAAAAATGGACAACTGCCCTGAAAATTACTCAGTTAAATTTAGTACAAGCCAGAAGAACCACAAACCAGAATTGCTCTGGTCTCCGAGGCCTGTTACAACTTAAAGCGTAGTGGAACCTCGATTTCACGAACTTCGATATAACGAATTCTTCGATGTAACGAATTCTTCGATGTAACGAACGATAGTCTTCAGCCCGACCAAAGTTACAGTAAAATGTATAGGAAAGAACCTCGATATAACGAAATCCGACGGCGTTAAGATAACGGCGAAATTCGTAATTTCGTTCGTCTATACATACGAGGATTTCTTGAAACCACTTAGTTGGTAGGATGGTATATATTATTACCGACCATAACAAAGCCAGTAAAGCAATTACTGAATGGCCACCACTTATACATGCGTCAGTATGATAGAAAATTCTAAGATAGCCAGTCACGCAATGACAAAACAACGAGATTTATGATTATCATAAATCCCACGAATGCCGACACTGACACTATCAACAAAGCTACAAATCCGCTTTATCCTCTATGTCTCTTATTAGTCACAAGAAGGCTTCTTGTAGTTGAAAGTGTTTCTGATACCCTTGTTCCACTGAAATTTGTCCTCCGTGCTTTAAAAACAAGGTGCTGTAGCTATGTACAGACCTGTGCAGCGTACTGCAGTTTCATGTAGACATTAAAGCCCAAATGTTATTTACAGTCATAATTCCGGTCCCGAAATGCTGGGTAGTGCGACGTCACACCACAAAAAAAAAAAATTCATCAGCCATGCCTCGATAGAGCGAACATTTTGGTTGTTTTTCCTAAAATTCGTTAAATTGAGGTTTCCGATATGACGAGCCCTAGCCCACGTGTAGCCGTACTCTCCCCTGGCCCCCCCCCCTTCCTCCCGAAAAAAAAGTGAAACGGAAGGTAGGGAACCGTTGCACTAGGCATCTTGTTTTCGGCGGGAAATTGGAACCGGTGAGGACTTCCACGAAACATTACTAGAAACCGCTGTCCAACTGACCGCAGTATTTGCAGCGGCCTCCAAGGTACACATAGATGTTCTTGATCGGCTGCATTTCTATAGCATGATGTAAATGTTACATACAAAACGAGGGATGATTTGAAGTTGTGATTTGAATCCAAATGGCTGAGATGGATTTCTTAGTTGAAATCCTGTCAAGAAAAGGTGTAAGAAACTGGATTACGATTGGGAGTTAGCGCACACCGCGCCCCTATAACGTCACCCCACCTCCCCTCCCTTCCCAACGGGGTTCGTCGTGTTCAGATGTTTTGGTTTGTTTGTTTTTCTTTTATTGTTCATTTCTACAAAAGAGTTTGTCAATTTTCAGTTGATTTTAAACAAAACTTCCATTACCTAAGTATGCCCCGTAATTAGAGCAATTGGAGGCGAAATAACTCTGAGGATATTGGAAGATCACATGTTATTTTAGAATCACTTTCCTCTCACTTTGTTGACGAACACTGGTTGCTTGATCCCAAAAGACAGAGATTTAGAAAGACTAAAACTCAGACTCACTCGATATACTTACAGGTGTTTCTTCCTTAACAAAAACCACCACAAACTAGCTTCCTGTGCCACAGTTCGCTAATTTACTGTTCAAATTGCAGTTTGTGCCACACATGAACAATAGCAATGCCGTGGACAAGGTCGGTTAAAAAGTGGACCTTTATTTTACCTACGAATCTCGCGATACTCTGAAGTCATTTAGTTTGTTTTTCACAGTCAAATCTATAACGAAATTGAATGAGGAACACGGCGTTAAATTAGAAATTGAAATGTAAAAAAATTAACCGTCGTCGTTCACGTTCTCCAAACAACGCAAAGTTTGGTGATTTCACGTTGTAGTTTTGCAGAGGACGCAGAGAAATTTACAAAAATTTATAATGCACGTGCAAAGCCATTGTTCTGCTTATTAAACCTTTTGTTTAGTGACGTTCCCGTTGCCGTTGCAGTTGTGGTTTTCTTAAAACTCCTCTAATGTCTGCCAGAGAGGGCATGGAACTGTTTCCCTCCGTCTGCGCACGCCCACCCGATCATGTGGAGCAGTCAGAGGCTCAGGAGCGCGCTGCCTGTGAGGCTTCTTCCTTTACTAAAAGGCGAGGTCAGCACTCTGCAGTCCTCCGTGTGATGAGACGAAACTGGAACGTTTAAAAGAGCCATTTTGAATCTGTTTTCCACGCGACTCTCTTCAATGGACACGTGAGGAAAGATGGCACGTTAACCTTCCCCGAGCCGCCTCGGACAAAACAGCTTGAATCCATTTTGGGCGTTTTTACGAGCACTGAGTCGGCTTTTAGGGGATAAAAATCACGTACATGTAAGATATAAGGTAAAGGTCTGATTATTTCTTTCTACAGCTGAACATACTCTTTCTTCGCCATTTTAGTGAGAGTTATTCAAGGTTTGATGCTCATGACCATTTCAGGAATTTCCACAATTTTTGAAAGGAATAATTAAAGATATAATCTTTTGCTCTGAGATGTTAAACTTACTTGAAACCTCTACAAGTGGCCCCAAAGGTTGTTCTTCGAAGGAATCACTGACAATTAGTGCTACCGAATAGACTGTTTCTCATCAACTGACATTGTATCACTTGCTATAAAGAAAGCAACAACCACTTTAGAGAAATGATTTCAGTTTTTTTATATCCTTATTAGCAAATGGAGACATTAACAAGTTGTGCAATTCTTACAAAAGTCCTTATTTTGAAAGGAATAGATTTCAGTTGACCTGCAGATGAAATTCAAGCAAGGAAATGATCCTCACAGGTTGACTGTAATTTATAATTAATAAGAAACCTGAAAAAATTCAGGCTTTGAAAGGATTTGAACCCGCGGAGCCTCCAAGATACTAGTTGGGCACTACTACCAACTGAGGTACAGAGACACTCATTGAGAGGCAAGTTTTAAGGGGTTCTCCTTTCCCATTGACAATTCTGATCATAATTTTTAATAAAATAATTTAATTTGAACTGCAGATGAAAATCAAGCAAAGAAAGGGTCGTTGCAGGTGGACTGTAATTTAAGCAATTACAGAAAAGAAGCCAGCAACACCTCCTACATACTAGTTGGGTGCAACAACACCAACTGACCTAGAAGGCAAAATTCAAAACAAAAACTCGGGACAAGTCATCTGTTTTCAAATGTTAAAAAGAAAAGATTTTGGACAAGGGTTATCGTAGGGGTGCCCAGCATCATTACTAAAAGCTTGATCTGATAAGGATCAAATTACTTAAAACAACTGACATGTGTACTCTATGATATGTGGTTTCCATTACACCAACACAAGAGAAATGTACTTGTAACAGTAAGAAACAACCGTAATAAGAATTTCCTTCAATAAGTCAACCAGCAAAACTGACATGTCAATGGTATGGGTAACATCCACCATTAGTTTTATCAACTGAGTTAACAAAACGAAACCACAGTTGTTATTTGGAAAATAAACTCCTTTATTTTGTAGATCAACAGCACAGTGTGCCAACCTGTGAAACCTTGTATCTGTGACAATTCAGTGATGATACACAGGAAAACAATAGCCTATGGATGATCAATTAAAAGTGTGACCTACTCTGCTCTGGTAAGTATTGAATAAGAATGCACTTGTGGTGCCACAGGCAGCATTTGTTGCCTAAAAAAAGTTATAATTTACATTAAAACTTAACAACAGTGACCTTTCACACTTTCTGAGGTCTTACAGTGTATTTTGAGAAGCAGGGATTTTGCATTTTTAATTTCCTTTCTATCAAATAAAGAAGAGACCACATCACACACTTACGGGAAGATTCTTGGCTGAGTCCAGTTTAACAAAAAGAGCTGCTGTTGCTAACATCTCCTCACCAATAATGGCTTGGTCAGGCTGTATATGAAAAACAAAACTTATAAACAAGCTAATAATACACAGTCAAGATCTTTGCCTCTTCGCCTGACCAAACAAATGGTTGGTCCTGCTTACATATGTAAAGGACCAAGGTACAGTTCTTGCTAAACTGGTCCTGTTTTTTTAAGCATGGCCAGTCAATAAAAAAATAAGTTCTCCCACTGACTACTGTACTTCTAAAGTGTGCCAAAGTTGTTAGACGTGCTAAACATTACAGACAGAAAATGGTGAAAAGTTGTTTCTGGGCCTTGAAAACACACAGAAGGAACCAACTCACACACCTATTCTCAAGAGTACAGGTCCACAACTTCTGCTTTCCATTTACTATTCTTTGACTGCACTGATTTGGTTTTTCGATTCAGCTTGTCCTCATAAATGAAAACCACCCTATTGTTAGTGAGTGTGAACTTACCAGTGGGAGATCTTCTGGTTTGGCAGTCAATGTGAACCATGTTCATCTCAAGTTGATCTGGCCACTCTTCACATTCTCTAGTGGAAGCCACTGTATTCAAAAATTACATAATTACAGGTTAGAATAAATTGAGTGAATTAAACCCTTTAACTCTCAAGATCTGATCATCAATTCTCCCCTCTGGCTACTACACATTTCCTTGTAAATTGATTATGAGAATTAGGTTTCAATCAAGGTAATACTGTAAATTGTACCTGATGAGTTTGAGTGTTCTCATTACCTGTTTGCTGTATAATGTATGGATACTATAGAGAGAAGTTACATGGTAATCACTTCTAGGAGTTTTAATCTGAGTGTTTAAACCAGAAATTCATCACAATGGCCAAACAGGAAAGGGAGAATTATTAAAATGAAACTGTAAATGTAGACTCAGTCAAAAGAAAAAACAAGTGAAGTATCCAAAGTAGAGGAAAGTGTCACTGATCAAATCACTACAAGTTTTATCTCTTTGCATGTGTTTGGCTCAGAGGGTAGTATTATATGTATTTGATAATACAAACTGTTATTAAACAAACCTTATTACATAAAGAAGCCCTCCTTGGTAAAAACAAAATAATGTATTCAGCCCTTTTTTAGTAAAATCTATGGGAGAGATGTACTAACTCCAATATAAAAGTCATTCAATATAACAGATATTTCCCAATTTGAGATTCCAATGAATGCCCTTTTCCTTATAGCTATCTAAGGCCTGGTCTGAACTTTTAATATATATATATATTTTTTTTTCAAATTCAGATGTTACAGAATCCAGATACAAAATGGTCAAGCTTCTTGTAGACAACCTCATTCAAGGCCAACTCATTGTGAGCCCAAGGAGAAAAAGACAAACAGCAGCTAAGTTTGCAGTTTGGGATAACTTCATTCTAATTTATTGTTACAGTTACAAGAAGATTTTAGTTAAAAAATCAATTATATTTAACTGTAATTAACCCCTTCACTCCCAAGAATACTTGGTTTTCAAATATAATTTAGGATATTGTATTTTATGGAAAAGAATCAACAGATTTTATTCACAATTAAATTTGGTTTGACACAAATTTTGTGTCAAACCAAATTTAATGATTGATTAGGACTATTTTATATGAATAGCTGTAATTGAGGATTAATCCATAGGAAGTTTTCAAGAAAAGAAAAAAAAATCAAATTCCATCCTAATATTACTACATATTGATGTCAATAATTAATCAAAAATATTTTACATATAAGCCTTAATTGAGCTTGTAAATAAATTTCATTGAATACTTGAATTTTATCTGTGGTTTTTTAATTTTAAGTATTTATTTTATATATGTAGCCTCAAATTTGTGCTTAATATTCCCAGTAATTCTTAAAAATTCCTAGAAATTCCTGAAAATTCCCAGAAATTCCCAGGAATTTTTAGATTTACAGCTTTTCAGGGAAAGTCATTGGTGCTCTGAGTTGGAATTCCTAGGAATTCCAAGTCCTGTTGGCTATAAACTTGGAATTTCTAGGAATTTCTAGGTTTTTAGTACCAGAGTTGTTGTGGTTGGGAATTTCTAGAAATTCCTAGGAATTCCCAGTCCAAATTTACCATGAAAATTCACACCTTTATTCCAAGGAATTCCAAAATCCATTTCACAAGGGTAGTGCAGTCCTGGGTTGCTTTAATTCGACAATCAATTAAAAATTGCTCTAGATGCTATATCAAATCACATGGTGTTAAACAAGGTTCCTAACACTGGTTATTGAATATGACATACAACTCTTTAGTTAGCAAAAGATTTGCAACTTACCAATTCAACATTGCCTTGCTGGACAATTGTACCAATGTCAGCCTCAACACTAAGGAGATAATACATCATTTGTCAACATCAAAACAGTCACATACATGTAAAAACTGGAGATATGAGTTGCTTTCTAATGATTCATGTTTGGATGATTACTTACTGTACCTTCCAAGAGATTCGTCATCAGATGCTTTGTCTTCATAAAAGACACCAATCTTTATAATTTCTGACCATGCGAGTTGTCCACAAAGGCCTTCACATAAACAATCAGAAACAAAACAATCAGAAATGAAATATCCCATGTTTGAAGTATGGACTAGGAACCACAAACCCATCAAAATCTTTACCAAGAACGCTTCATTCCATATTGGATTCACTGTATTGTCCTTTGTCTTTGTGCAGAATGTCTTGGCTCCCACTGGCAACAGAAAGAAATATCATCATGAGCTATGGTGCTCATACAGTAAGATACTCACTGGTGTTCTAAAGCAATGATCTTTTCCCAGTGAATTTATCTCCTCATGCAGGCAAAGCAAATGAGAAATCTAAAAAATGATGTAATAATTAATAAATTTATGCTTCACTGATTGCTGATTCTATTTAATTCAAAATAAACGATCAAAAAAGTTTACACAGATGTAGAATTTTCAGAGGAGTTCAGACTCAAAGTATGATTCACCTTCTATGAAACTGAGGTAGAAAAATTTCAGTGACACAAGCACCAAAAGACACTTGGATACATATTACTGCTGGTCAGTAAGGGCTCTTTCATGTCTTTAGCTCATACAGTAATCTCCATAAGCTTTGATACATACCTCTGAGAATGACATTTGGATCTGAAGAACCTTTAGATATGATAACAATGTCTTTCATGATTAAGTCTATTTAGCTTCCAGGAATTCAATGTGAAGGACACCCTGGAGTAACAAGAGAAAGCAAAATCAATTTGTCAAAAACCTTTAAAAACTTCACTTATGTGTACACTTGGTGTACTCAGTACTACTGAGTTATTCAAGTTTAAATAAACGTTTAATCATGTCTTGAGGCACAATAAAAGACAATTTGCAGAGAGAAAATTCTAATGATAAGTACAAGTCACTCACATCAGGCAAGGGGTATTTCAGTTCATATGGATCAACATCAGTCTAAGGAACTGTGATCCTGTTTGGGAGAACCACAAATCCCACCACACATGAAGCATACTCAGACTAGGAATATCAAGAATATTTGCCATGTTTGTTAAGTCAAAGTCTATGTCCTGTAGAGAATAAAACAAAAAAAAAATTTACAATAAGCTGGTTACTGAGAACAGGGGCATAGATTACATCACTATGAACAACATTTTACTTCCCTATAATATAAAACCATTGGATTCCCTGTTACAGTCTGTCTAGAGGGAAAAGAAGGTGGTTTCAAACCTCGTGGACAAATAATTTAAGGCAACAGAGCTTTATGTAAACTAGGCATATGCATGCATAGTATACTGTTTTTGAGTCCTTATTCATTCTTCAATGCTATTTAATGACTGCTTTTTTTTCAGATAACATTGTTGCTAATGCAATGTATATTACAGTGAAAAATTAAACACAACAAAATTGATAAGGGAGGGGAGGGAGAAGAAGGTGGTTTCAAACCTCAGGCAATCATGTTTTGAAAAGTGAAGCTAGCATAATATTAAGCCTGTGGTTGCACTTTCTCAAAACATTTTGCCCACAATAATTATTTCTGGGCATTGACATCTGGTTTTCTAGTTTTGTGCTACTGAAAACCATGTTTAAATTAACCAGAACAGAAAAAGCACCAGCTATAGCAGCACTGATCAAAATATGTATTGCATCAATAAATTGAATTAATTTCAATACATTTAGAAAAAACTTAAATGAAAAACTAACAACACAAACAAAACTAGAACATAACAACAAGGAAGTTCAGACTTTGATCTCCCTGAACCTTGTCTTTGCCCTTCTTTCTTGTCTTGATGAGCCCAGAAAAAACTTCATGAAGCTCAGTCAATTTTTAATGTCATGATTCAGAGTTCAAATGCATGGAAATATTTTAAGTAAATTAATGTCTTTTAAAAGAAAGATAATGAATGCTCTTCTTTTTTCCAGTTGGTTCACATGAAATAAATCATGCCAGTTCATACGTTCTCTTGGAATGAAAATGTAAACTAAGGTGACTATAATCTTCAAGGAAAGTGCTTACAGAACTGTTATAGATTGAAAGGCAATCAATATCAGAGAGAAAATCTGTTATTTGTTCTAATTGATTGCAAATTCTTCATTTTAAAATAATTTTTCTTAATCAAGGTTCATTTAGTTTTATCTCAAATTCATTTTCTACAACACACAGTTTATAAATAACAAACATTCTTAAATGTAAGTCTCTTTGTCTGCAAGAAAGTGTTCCAGAGAACAGAGACATGCTCTGGGATTTTGAACTGATTATGATAAAACTTGTTGAAAAAGATAATTACAAGTGAGATATTCCAAAAGCCAGAGAAATTAACATTTCAGCCTTTTAATTAAAAATTTGAGGGGAGAACGTTTAATGGCTGAAGAACACAACTAAAACTTCAGTTTCTCAATCTCTATTTTAGCTAAATTAAATATCCAACCAGACAAATTGGCCAGTCTATATTTAAATGCTTTTTAGGCGAACTTTGAAGAACACAATCAGAAATTTGAGCTTTGTAAAAGGGATTAACCTTCTATTAAATTTGAGCTCTTATTTTAATGATAAAATCTTTAACTCATTAGGAATAAGAAAATCAGTTTAAAAAAAAAAAGGCGGGGGGTTTGCCCTTCTTGACCATAAATATGTATACAATGCAACTTAAAATGGGCGTGCAAGTCCTATAAGTACATTTTGTATCTGCGTCAATCTATATACTGAAGGACATTTAATATTATCGATTTCTCGGCTTACTTCGGGACCGATATTGAAGAATGTAACATCACTTGGACCACTCTATATTTCGTGGTGTTTGTTGTGTCTAACGAAATCGAAACAAAAAAAAATTGAAGGGTTGGTGCATGTTAGGGTAGTTCATTTGAGTTGGAGGACATTGTTTTGTCCATCACCCCATTCCTTAGTGATCAGTGCAACATTTGTCAGAAGATGAGTAAGTAACGTTCCTATGTAATAGGATACATTTCATAGACATTGAATCGGTTGAAAGTTCTTTGAAGATCTCTCACCTGTGAGGGTTCCTGGTAAACATTATTATTTCATCATGGTAAAAAGAAGTTTCTTAACACATCCGATGTACAAAGTGAAGCCGAGACGAGTTTTAGAACAAGTCATCGTGATCCGTCATCAAATGTAACACAATTGTCGAAAGAAACCGACTCTCCAACTTGCGACATCGGTTCTTTCAGTTGTAAATTCACGGCAACTCGTCCGCCATTTTGAATGTAGCTGCTAAGAAACTGGGTCGAGACTTAGCTAATCTTGGCCAATCAGAAAGAAGACGCCGTGCTAAAAGAAATCTGGGTGCTTAACTCTTACGAATCTGGATTTTTTGAAATCGGGAATTCGGATTTTGCGGTAAAACATGAAATCCTAAAACGACTTTCAATGCTGAGAAATCCATCCTTAAAGTGGATCTCAATGAAGCCAATAGACAAGGTTTAAAAGAACCGATCCAACTATTATCGACTATTCTTCCTAGAGGAACTGAAACCGAGTGATCTCTTCTTTGCCAACAAAAGTGTATCTAAAAGTTACATCTCTACTACCGTGCTTTCAGATTTCAAAGCCAAAAGAAATCAAGAGGTAAGAAGTTGACTATCGACGCCGCCACTTTCAAAATTAACTTAGTAATCTGGCCGCAAGCTGTCGACTCGCGAAAACCACATTGAGCGGTTCACAAACAGCTACTGCTCTGACCATAAAAAAGAAAAAATCATCACTCGCATCAAAAATATATATTTTTTGTAGCATCTAATTGTTAAGGCAGATCATCATTGGGTGACAAGGCGTGGTGAATGTCATCATTTCATAATGATGTACTGCTCATTAGCTGAGATGAAAATTACACGTTTTTTTGGAACTGATGATTGAATTTCCATTCAGCTGATATCCTTATGCTGGTAAGAGAAATCTGAAAATCATAAAGCGCCGTCAATGTCATTATCTTATAATAATGTACTTCCTGCTGCCTTAGACAAAAATTATATGGTTTTTTTAAACTGGAGATGGAATTTCCATTCAGCCGATATCTTTAAGCTGGTTAAAGGAAATCTGAAAACAAAATTCCCTCACATCAGGGCTCCTCTTCACGTATCTTCAAACACAAACAAACAATTTAGAAAGACAATATGAAAGTAATGATTCTTTGGACAGCGCTCTCATGTAGTCTTAGATTGAGCAACGAACCAAACAAGCCGGAAAGATTTAGTTAAGGAAGTTGTACACAAATGAATGAGGGTGCTGCACATAAAACCAATGTCAATCAAGAGATCATGAGGTAATAATGTTGATTTATTTATAAATCAACATCATTTTTTTTAATTCTGACAATAGGTCAAGGGCCTCAGTTGAGAACAATAGCTGTGTAAGTCAATGAAGAGGTTTCTCAAATATGGCTCAAACGAATTTGTGAATCACCAGTCTTTCAAACTTCTTTGCTATTGCTAATTGACCTCGAGGTTTTCACAGAAACCATCTCTATGCCTTGGAAAAAAATTAATAATATTGTTTTTCAATCCAAAGACCAGGTGAAGAAGTACAATGGTCTTTGGCTCCTGAACAAGTACAGTGACCTATACTTTTTATGGCATAATTTTGTTGTACCATTTATCCCTTTTAAATTGGGGATTTTAAAAAAATTCTCCGAAGGGCAAAAAAGGTAAGGCTAAAAGCATGCACAAATTAGCCCTTTACTAGGGGATTCAAATTATGATCTTGAAAGGAATGACTCAGAGAACAATTTGAGTCTATGTCATTTAAATTTGCCTGATTTTCCCACAAATTATATATCAAATTGTTCTAGTAAGGCTCCAAACTTTCAACCTACTGTATCAAGTTATTTTCAAGGGTTACTTCAAAAACCCTAGCTTCCACTTGCAGCAAAATGTACAGTGAACCAATGAAATAACACACATGATTAGTGCCAGTACAGGACCGTGTAAATGGGGTATGTTTGGCCCATCGTATCTCCTAAACAAGCATGGTGACTTATCTTTTTGAAAATTGATGCAATTTTTTAGAACACACATTTGCAAGGAACATTTAAAGAAAGTTTCAAGAAGATTGCTCCATAAATATTTTTTCAGAGGAATCACCTTAATGAAATTAATGTCTTTTACAAAAAAGACACTGAATGCTTTTTTTTTTTTTTCAGTTTTAATTTGTTCACCCAAAATAAATCATGTCAGTTGGTAAATTATCTTGCAAAGAAAAGCAAAGGTTACTATAGTCTTCAAGCAAAGTGCTTCTGTTATAGTTTAAAAGGCACTCAATAACAGAAACATTCTTAGTTAATTAGTTTCTTTTCAAATTCATTTCCTACACCACACAGTTTATGAATAACAAACATTCTTAAATCTCTTGGTGTACAAGAAAGAAAGTGTTCCAGAGGACTGAAACATGCTAGGGGATAGATAAATAATTATCATGAAACTTGTTGCAAAAGATATTTTGGTGAGATATTCCAAAAGTCACACAATTATACTTTCTGCCTTTTCTCTTAAAAATTCCAGGGAGACCACTTGATGCCTGCAGAACACAACTGAAACTAAGGTTTCTCAATGTCTAACTTAGCTCAATTAAAAATCTGATGAGACGAATTGGCCAATTTACATTAAATTATGCCTTTGAGGTCAACTTTGAAGAACCCAATCAAAAATTTGAATTTTGTAAAAGAGATTAACCTTCTATTATTTTTTAGCTCTTATTTTAATGCTTGAGAGCCTGTGATAAGCAATCATTCTTGCAATAAATCACTATGATAGAATCTTAAATTCATTTAGCACAATAAAATCAGAAAAAATGAAAAGAAAAAAAAGTTTTTGCCCTTCTAGACCGTAAATATGTTTACAATGCGGCTTAAAATGGGTGTGCAAGTCCTATAAATATAATCTCCTTCCAAACATAGCCATGCCAACTGATGTACATGGAAAATACATTTTCAACCTGCGTCTATCTACATACTGAAGGACATTTCATATTATCGATTTCTCTCCTTCGTGACCGATATCAAAAAATGTAACATGACTTGGATCACGCTATATTTCGAAGAGAGGATTTTGAATCTAAATTTCTAGCTGTTTGTTGTGACTAACGAAAACGAAACAAAAATTAAATCGAAGGGTTGATGCATGTTAGGGTAGTTCATTTGAGTTGTCCAACGGGGTTAAGTCCATGGAATGGAGGACATTGTTTTGTCCATCACCCCATTCCTTCGTGATCAGAGCAACATCTGTTAGAGGATGACTAAGTAACGTTCCTATGTAATAAGATACATTTCAATGACACTGAATTGGTTCAAAGTTCTTTGAAGATCTCTCACCTGTCGCGGGGTTCCTGGTAAACATTAGAATTTCATCATGGTAGAAAGACGTTACTTTACATATCCGATGTACAAAGTGAAGATTAGACGAGTTTTTAGAATAGGTCATTATTATCCGTCATCAAATGTAACACAACTGTCGAAATAAACTGACTATTCAGTGCGACATCGACTCTTTCAATTCTAAATTCACGGCAACTCGTCCGCCATTTTGAATGTGACTGCTAAGAAACTGGGTTGAGAGCTAGTCTAGGCCAATCAGAAAGAAGACATGTGTTAAGGGAAGTCTGGTTGCTTAACTGTTACGAATCTGGATTTTGATTTTGAAATCGGGAATTCGGATTTTGCGTTAAAACATGAAATCCAAAACGACTTTCAACGCTGAGAAATCCATCCTCAAAATGGATCTCAATTAAGAAATCCAACTCCAGATCTCATGGATATCTATGTTTTGCGTTCTTCCGGGAAATCTCAAAAGGATCTATTCTAGGATGGGTCTCAACGTGGTTAACCGTTGGCTATAAAAAGAAAAAAAAATTAGCTTTGGATTTTTTAATGGAAATCCACCTTAGGGAAAGATTTTTCAGCGTCGAAATCCGTTTTTGTTTTTCATTTTTACCGCAAAATCCGAAATATGTATTTCAAGATTTTACTCCGGATTTACAAATCGAAAGCACCCAGAACTTTAGAGCTGCTTTCCAAATATTCCACAAGCATTCGCAGTTATTTTGGACTCTTTTGAATAGAAAAATGAATAAGATTTAAATCATTCTTATGATTCACTTTCAACAAAATGCATCTAAGTGATGTACGCTCAGGGGCGTGCATCACGTGAGTACCTGGGCATGAGTACGATAGATAAGCCGATAGACAAGGTTTAAAAGAACCGTTCCAACTATTATAGACTTAATTTTTTGATGATCATTGGTTTGATGACGGCAGTGGAAAGACAAAAATACTGTCTATTCTTCTTCTACTGCCGTGTTTTCAGATTTCAAAGCAAAAAAAATCAACAGGTAAGAAGTTGACTATCGACGCTGCTATTTTCAAAATCAACATAGTAATCTGGCCGCAAGCTATCGACTCGCGAAAACCACATCCAGCAGTTCACAAGCAGTTCCTGGCCAGAACGAACAGCCAAGAAATCGTCGTAGCAAAATTTGAAGGCGAGATCATTCGTTTGAAGGAACTGTGTACACACATGGAAATTATAGTTGAGAGACTGAGACGAAGACCGCTGTTTTTGTATAATAAAGTGTAAAGTAAGTAATTAAACAATTAAAGGAAGATGAACCACCTTCGATCTGAATTTACAGGTACACTAACAGTACTATCACTGAAACAGAATAGTGCCGCTAATTGGTGTAGGAGCATTTATTGCAATGAAGGTGTTTCATATTCGGTAGGGGTGATTATTAGAACAACAGCGCTTATTAACAAAAACGAATTCGAAGGGGGCCCTTCTTAGAGGGTGCTTATTAGAGAGGGGGTGCTTATTAAAGGGCGTGCTTATTAGAGAGGGGGCGCTTTTGGCACGAGGGCGCCAAATCAAATCATTACGGTACTGATCAGTGGTACCTGTTTAAACAGTAAGAAAAGCTATTGAATTTAACAGTCGAATTGTTAGTTCAAGCTAATCCATTACACACTTGTTTAGGCGTAGCATCCTCTGTAGTAATTCTTTGTAACGTTTTCATTTCATCAGTCATACAGTGCACCTTGTTCCTACATTTCTTAATGGCCATTTCCTGCTCTGCCTGTTTCCGCAATACTTCTTGGGTTGATTTGTACATGTCCAAGAGGGAATCCAACTGTTTCATCTTCTGTGAAAGTATTATCAATAATTTACAATAAACAGTCATAAGGGCAATTCTGTCTATTTTGGTTCCTCAAGCTCAAAGTGTTAATCAGTCGACTTTCCAAAATAATGACTAAGTCCAAGGGTACTGCTTTACTACGCTCTGTAATATATCCGTAGAACCAGAAAACCGTCGGAATCTGTTTTTGTTTACTAGACGTGTGTGATTTTTTAACTCGTCATTTGACTGGAGAAAGAGTATATCCGGGAGACAAGGGTAAGCACTACCTCCCTGTAACCGAAAAAACCGAAGGTTTAATTCCAGATCATTACTTGTACTGCGAGGGGAATGGAAAATTGTTGAATTTCCAAGGGGTGAGGAAGAGCGGGATCCTGGTGGTAGAAGAAGAGACCACAGTGCATGACCTTCATTAAAAATTTATGGAGATACAAGAAAGCTTGTTGATGGAATCTTTACATTAACCTTCTCCTACCATTTCTGTGCTTGAATTTAAACCTTTCTCTGGAGCTCACGTCCCGTATTATTGGTTGATCAGTCAACTGACAATCTGATTCAACTTATTTGAACAATCCTGCAGCAACTGAATCGATTTCCAGCATCAAAGGTGATCTTTCAGTTAGATACTCTTTACGCGATTGAACTCCAGGATGGTTCGATTATTAGAAGACAAAAAAAATGAGCTGAAATTTTTTATATTTATTTTTAATTAGACACTAAATGGCTTGACAATAACTTATGAAACGTTTCACACTTTTTATAACATTCTCACTTGGGTTTTCACTCCTATGATAGTTTTTTCTTCTATTTTTGCGCAAGCTCCTACAAAATTTTAACTTAAATCGTAGGTTAACAACAAAGGTGAATAAATAAAGGCGCCAGATGAAAATACATTATCTGACCTGTGCACTTGATATATGTGTGCAGTGGAGTAAATACGATTACTGGCGTAGCATTGTAATAACAATTAAGCCACCTTCTAAAGAACATGCTAGGACTAAAGTCAATAAATAACGAGTAATATATGCAACTGAATGCTGAGTAAATAGTTAAATAATGTTTGTAAGTAGTAATAAATCTAATAATATTGAAATAAAATCAGTTGCGGAAACTTCTGACGACACTGGAAACGCAACACGGCCGTAAACATGCTTTTACGATTATCTATTTAGCAAACCATACTAACTTCCTTTCTCCTGTAGCTGTTTTTACTTGTCTACAACAACTCAGACAATCAAAAAATGAAAACAAACATTGCGGGCTCGCACTAGTCACTGTCATACCTTATATGAGTTATTCTCTAATGCTCTTGGTTAAGTAAATGCATCATTTTCATGATATAACGGTATATAACCTTTCTTTTACTAAAACGATAACTAGAACTAAAGAGGACTTGATGAGTCAATGCTAGCAATTACAGACGTGTATCCAGCCCCATATCATCTTCTTCGTAATGTCCTGTTGAATAGCAAAGTAACTCATTATCATGATACTTTAGTTAACATTGTCGCTTGAAACAAATAACTAAGAGTTTTGGAGTATTGAAGAATATTTCCTTTACCCAGACTGATAAGTGAGAAATTTATACTCCAAAACTTTAAATTTTGGCGAAAATGGAGGGTGGCAAAACATACCTTCGTCCATAACTAGCTGCTGCTGACGTGGAGATTTATCTTCCGAGGACCCATCACCCTGCGGTTGGGAGCCCCCGCAAGCTTCTTTTGACTTCTCGTCTCCAAGTTGATTTTGGTTGAGTTTTTCGTACTCTCCTTTTGGCTTTTCAGTTTCCAGTTGCTCTTGTTTAGGTTCCTGATTCTCTCCTTTTGGTTTTCCTTGCTGCAGTTGGTCTTTCATATGTTCTTCATGGCCTTCTTTTGGTTGTTCATAATCCAGTTGCTTTTTCTTAGAATCTTCATCGTCTCCTTTTGGTTTTTCTTGTCCAATTTGCTCGAGTTTAGGATCCTTATGGTCTTGTTCTCGTTCTTCTTGATCACAATCAACTTGCTCCTTTTCGGTTTCTTCTGGGTGTTCTTCTTGCTCCTGCTCATCTTGTTTATTTTGCTCTTGTTGCTGTTCACTTTCTTTTTCATTTCTTTTCGACTTTTTCTTCTGTTTACCCTCATCTTTTAGCTCATCAGGCTCTGCATGGTCGACATTCGGTTCTTTTTCTTCTTCCTCTTCTTGAGTGCCCGGTTGTTTGGATTCCTGGTCGTATCCTTTAAGCTTTCGCTCAGGTTTTCCATCGTCTTCATTTAGCTCCTGTTTTTCTCGTTGCGTTTCACTTACTTCTTTGTTTCCCTTTGAATCTGCTTGATGATCTTGTTCAACGTCATGCTTTTTAGGGGGTTCTTCATGGTCATCTTTTGGTGCTTCGTTTCTTTTAGATTCATCTTGCTGCTGTTCAGCGGGTTCTTTTTGGCATTGTTTTGGTTCTTCGTCTTGTTCACGTACAACTTGCTGCTGTTCTGTGGCTTCTTCTTGGCATTGCTTTGGTTCTTCGTCTTGTTCACGTACAACTTGCTGCAGTTCTGTGGCTTCTTCTTGGCCTTGTTTTGGTTCTTCGTCTTGTTTACGTTCAACTCGCTGCTGTTCAGTGGGTTCTTTTCGGCCTTGTTTTTGTTCTTCGTTTTCTTCACATTCAACTTGCTTCGCTTCAGTAGATTCTTCTTTTGCTTGTTTTGGTTCTTCGTCTTGTTCATGTTCAACTTGCTGGGATTCAGTAGGTTGTTCATTGTCTTCGCCTGATCCTGCATGTTGCTCACCATCTCCTTGTTCTTCTTGCGATTCATCCTCACTATCGTCAGCGCTCTCAACCTTCTCTTGGTTTTGTACTGTGTTCAATAAAATAAAGACAAAAAGGGAATAAGATTAAAAAGTGTTTCCTCGGGTAGTTGTAGTTGGCCAAATCGCCAATTTTTTAAACGAGCTACATCGTGCTTTTTGCACTTGGTGACCGCATTTTGTAACTTCTCTGGCCTTAATAATTTACGCTCCGCTTTTGCTCTTTCCGAATATATCTTTGTGGCTTTGATACCTTATTAAAACCATTATTTGAAAAAGTTTCACGGTCGACCAAACACTTAGCCTATATTGCCGTGCGTCCGTTTATTCATAGCTCACAGATGACGTCAAAATGCCGGTAACATCAAAAACGTGGTGCACTGGACTCAGCTGAGTAAGTCTGATGTTCTTAGCCTATTTCGACTTTTTCTGTGAGCGATTTTTATAGGTATCTATTTGTTTTACGATATGAAAAGCGAAATATTGTTAGTGGTGACAAAATCTATAAGTCTTCCCTCCACTAAATAATAATTAACAATCAGTCAAAATAGGATTAAGCATATTACATATCAAGAAAAATTGCGGTCATTAAAGCGACTCAAAATATGGTTGTCTGTAAACTTCATATTGAAGATTCAAATACTTTTCACACGTTTCCTAAACTGGCAAAAAGGTCGAACCGACTTGCTTCAAAGTTACATGAATGCTTTTCTTTGGCTTTTCTGTTTCGCTCTTGGTTTTGAATGCTAGGTGTTGCGTCCTGAAATGTGTTTTAGTCTGTGGAGAAGCGAATGGTGCGTACCTTCTTCGATAACTCTCATCTCTATTCCCTGATCTTGAACTGACGAAAAAAATACAAGCAAGCGGACAAAACATCAGCAACAACAAAACTAGTCATTCATGAGGCAACGTCTTTTTTTATCATTTGAGGTTGAGTCTACCTATGTGTTTACATGAAATACACAAGCTCGCGCGCCACTAAATACATACATCTGTTTCTTATTCATATAGGTAACAAAAAGTATCTCTTGGCTTACGAACCGATCTGATTGATTAACGCACGGTACATCTGCTCTAAAACCTGTTTTAAACGTGACTTTAGAGCATGAAACCAAAAAATTAAAGAACGCGAAAACCACTCACCAGAATAAAGAAATATTATTTAAAAGTGTCAAAAATTACCTTCCGCATTTTGATTTCGGCCGAGTTTTGTCATCAGATAATCCCACAATGGTTGGAGTTTGGCTCTGATGACACCTCGGACCTTAATACATTGAAACAAAACACGAGGTTGTAATCAGTAAATAGTGCTTCCTCACCAGTTTTTAAACCCTTAGAGTCTTTGCACCAATGCGCAAAATACTTTTTTACAGCTTTCCAGCCACTCTCAAACTGAGTGCGATACAATGAAACGTGTACATTTTTCATACAGAGGAGAGTTCTGAGTCAGAGGGATCTCAGAAATGGCGGAAATCAAGGTTATCAGCTAATATAAAATACGGTAAAATTATACACAGTGAGACACTTCATGGCGGTCCGTGTTCCACTTATTTTTTCTTGTCGAATTTAGATGTGATCTATGATCTGTAATCTGTGAGTGATGATATAAATGCAAAATTTAACTTATCGGCTAAATATGTATTTTTCCAACTGTTCAAGTTATTATTACATGTACCTGTGGGGTAGACAAGGTGTAGAGAATGGGATTGATGGCAGAGTTAACCGGTAGAACAAAGACTGCGATCCAAACTGCGAGGTCACCAGGTGTACGGAAGGATTTTTCCAAGAGAGACCTCATTCCAATCGCCACAATAGGTAGCCAGCAGGCACAGTCGGTAAGAACAATGAAGAACACTCTTTTGGCGAGCGAGGCCTCCCTCCTTAGATGGGCTGCCCTTGCCTTGGCTTTCATTCTCCTCTCTCTTTCGGTCCCTTGCTTAGCCATGCGCCTACTTGATGCGCAGGTCTTATAGATTATCATCGTATATGCCACAACGACAAAGAGCACAAGGATAAAGTTTAAACCCACAAACATGGCAACAGAGTATTCCCAGCCCGACGGCTTATCAGTGGAAAGCTGCAATGGCAAACATACAACTGATCTGCCATAAAAGTGATGACCTTTCTGGCGACTACCGAAGTAGTCAAAGCCCACCGTGGGAATAAATGCAATTATGCCACCAACAATCCAGATAAGGAAGCACAAAAGGTGCGTAACCTTAAGGGAAAGGGACTTTCCACGATAGGGGAACAGAACATTTTTCATCCGGTCGGCGGAGAGCAAACAAATCGTCATTACAGACACCTCACTTGACAACACGGCAATGGCACCTGTTATCTGACATGTCAAACTTGAACGCCAGTAATAGTCATGCAAATAATACTCCCCTGCCCAAATGGCATCCACCACACCTATAGTTATGAGGTAGACACCCATAAGTCCATCAGCCCCAGCCAAATGTATCAACATGATGGACTGTATCTTGTTTTTCTTCTTCTTCTCCCGAAACACCAACCGCCACACAATGACAAACACAGCACCAACCAACGACATGATTCCAATCACCCAGAGGCACTCCCTAGGAGCTCGATTTCTGAACAAAGTTTCACAACTGGCGAAGCTGTCGACATAAGCAAAGTCGCAATCTGCGTCCTCCTTCGTCAAATGGCAACACATCAGGTTGGTGTCTACAGTCCTACGGTTCATAAAAATAGTTCAAATGAACAACAAAAGGAAAAAAAAGACAAATTTAATCCGTCACAGGATCGAAATTTTTAAGAAAATGAAAGTGTGATAGTAATACTCTAAGTGCAGTATAACTGGGCACTGACGAATGAAATTTTTCAATTTTTACTCCTCGCATCTAGAATATTCCACTTGACTTACGCAGTTATTAGATTCTTCATGTTTGAAAAGAAACCCTCCGGTAGTTCTCGCATTTCGTTGAAATGGAAGTACCTGCAAATGGAAAGCAATTCAGGCAAACTTTGCTCGCTACTTCTTGATTACATCGACATCTTTAGTCTATTAATCACAACCATTACAAATTCCTCAAATCTCATTGGTGCATTCGCAGCTTCACTTTTCAGTAATCATTCTGTACAGTTGTAATAGGACAGTGTAATCGGACAGTTGGCTGTAATCGGACAACTGTAATCGGACAGTTGAAGCAGCCAATCACGCTAACTCCACTCAGCTAATCCGCCAATCGCAGAAATTATCAAAATAACCATAGCAACAACCATTTATCCAAAGAAAAACTGGGAAATTTTTAAAATGGAGGAATTTTTAACTAAATACATTATCTCCACTGGAGATATTTGTTTAAGATGCATTTGTTTTTTCGGAAATTGAAATGGTTATGATTAATTGGTAACAAGACTTCTTCTCGTCCAATTCTGTCTGTAATCACACTCGTGATTAACAAATCGGACTTCCACTTCGCGCTCGTCTGATTTTGTTGATCACTCGTATGATTACAGACCGAGTTAAACTCCGCTCGGTCCTATTACCATTATGTATAAATCAGTTTTTCGGCTATCTCTTTTTCCTTTTCCCGCCCAATTCTCAACAACTATTTGATAGAAAACTAACATCGAAGACGAATAACTCGTCACTGATTACGGAAAACATACTTACACAGGCTATGCCAAAGTGTCTTTACTTGTTATACTGATATGCTTTTAATACTCCAATGAGTACATGGTGCACTCATTTCAAATTTAGGCAGAAAAGAAGGGTCGCTCATTACAGAGAGGGCACTTTATGAGGAGGGGCCCTCCCTTAAGTTTTTCCTAAACTTTTTCTTGTGACCAGATATGATCGTCCCAAGGAGTTTTACATTGGGCGTAAATAAAAGTATAAATCGTGCATTAGTGTACAAAGCCGATCCTGACTTCTAATAGCGGCACAGTTGGTACTCTTAGCATATAAGTAGTAGTGGTATGTGTGTGAAAATATTTAATTACAATTTCCTTTTTAAACAACTCGGCGAGTGGTATCACTCGTCCATTCATTACTGAAAATGGGGGAGGGGTGCTAATCCGTGAGTTTACGGCACGTGAAGGTCGCACCAACAATATCTGTCTCCCTTGAACTCAAAGTAGTTTGAACACACCAGGGATATTATCAGTTTATTCATACTCACAGGAATCGAATAGTTGGGGCGACATCTTTCAAATGTTCGTTGGTAATGGCACGGATATTGTTGAAATAAAAATTCCTACAGAACGATGAAACAGTGAAAAGTGTAGAACGTCAATTGACAAGTTTTAAAGCATAAATTAAAACAACACTGGACAGAAAATTAGCCAAGGATGGAAGGCAATATCTTCCATTTGTTCAAAATGTTCTGCGACGAGAAAAGAACCTCACCGTACATTGGAAAGTGCGTCATACAATAATGTCACATAAGTATTTTTACGAATTTTCATATTACGGAGAACTTCTTCAAAGTGACAGTTCAGTTATCAAGAATGAACAAAATATTTCCTATATAAATGAATAAAGGGGTAAGTTTCTAAAGAAACTGTGGTGCTGCGTCGGTGGGAGAGTATAGCAAGTAATTTAGTGTTAACAACTAAGTTGAAAACGTAAATTAGCCACCGTAAAGGGTAAAAAAGCTGACGTTTCGAGCGTTAGCCCTTCGTCAATCGCTCTGACTAACGCTCGAAACGTCAGCTTTTTTACCCTTTACGGTGGCTAATTTACGCTTTCAACTCAGTTGTTAACACTGAATTACCTGCTATTTCTTATATAAGTCGCAATTGATAATACAGCTCCAGATCCATTTCCATCCGCGTGGCCGATGCCGATTAAAACAACCCCATGTGTATTGTCATGCATACCCTCGAGAGGTTTTCATGGTAGAAGTCTTTGCAAACTCAGTGTTTGAATCTGGAAGGGGATACCTTAGCAGGATCTTGTTTTTGATGGTTAAAGAGACCTGGTGTCTCTCAAGGTTTTGTCTGATTTGCCTTTTGGTGGTTCTCTCTACTTCTAGTTGATATGATCTCTTAGTCAGCCTGTTTTCACTTTCACTATCGTAAATATTTCGTCGTCCATCACACATGGTTTTATCCATAAGGTATGATCTGTCCTCGGGGGTAGAAGATTGTCCGTGCTTTTGGTGTGCAGCTTTGTGGGTCTCTTGATCTCCCTGAGCCGAATTCGTCTCAGATAACGGACATTTCTGAGATTCGTACGATTGCATGCTGACTAGACCCTTGCTAATTTTGCGGTACCTCGCTACCGTTATTTAGAAGAAAGTTTAGAATTAGATACTTACATAGACATCATGTTTTTCATGCCCTTAAAAACTTCACGCGGCAGGTACTTGATATTGTTTTCATAAACAGCCCTAGAACAACATAGAGGGCGCATCATTATAATCAAAAATATAGAAAAATTTAGAGGTAAACACGTATTTACTTTAACTTCCGTTATCTTTATTGATTCTTAAATACCCTCTCCCTCTGATACTTTAAAAAACTATCCGATTTTGAAAATATGAATAGTAAAAAGGTACAAAAAAACCTCACAGCCAGGAATGCGTAAAAGTTAGACTGATATGCAGTTTGCGGTTACCTTGCTAAAAAAGTCAAAACCTAGCGCATACGTATATTTGGACTACTAGAAAGAGCATTGTTTCATTGATCTGTTGAATTTTTAGGAGGGTAAGGGATAGAATTGCTACATCTCTGATTCTCTTCTTTTTCAGTCTTTTTCTGGAGAAATCCGAGGTGACAGTTGCTATCTTGGATGACAGAGCATCTTTTTCAGAATTCTGCTAAGGTTTCTGAGCTTTATCCAATCAAAGTACATTGGCTTAAAAATTTAGCGAAAAGTTTGACAAAAGTGGTGGGAGGAAGAGAGAAAGGTCTACTCGCCCTACTGATCCTCTGTAAAACTGCAAAATTATCGATTACTTGTATTTTTGACAGTTACTCCTTCCTTGTTTTTGCAGTTGTATTTTCTCCAAACCGAGTGTAAAAAAAGGAAGTTGAACAATTCGGCTAGCAAATGAATATCAATCAAAAATTAATTAATATATATTTGGTCAAGAATAGTTACTTGTGCAGTCAGGTATGATTTCTATCGAATGTTTACTTACAGTTCCTCCAGTTTGGACAGGCCCTGGAACTGATCAGGTGACAGGTGTACGAGGCTGTTGTTATCCATGTATCTACACAATAAAATGCACTAGGCGCTCGGTATAATTACAGTATTTGATGGGGGAGTATTTATTGACTGGAATCGTATTTGGTAGCCTACAGCTGACTGCGAAACTTACAGATTCTTAAGTAACCTTGACCCAGCTTTATCTTCTAAGGACTTTAAGGATAATTTAGTCCCGAACCCTGTCTCGTATTATAGAAACTGTTGCATCCTTAATTAAAGTCAGAGGAGTTAAACATGCTTGTAATTGCAACCTCCTTCGAAAGTGTATTAGTGCCTTGATATTCGGCAAACTGTTCTACTGCTCATCAGTGTGCTCCAACACTTCTTGAAAAAACATCCCATAATGTATTTGGACCTAAAAGTTGCCGCGTGCATTGTGACAAGAACAATTAATTAAGTTCCATCATGTTACGCCTTCACTGAAAGGACTATGCTAGCCGCCAGGTAAATAATGGTTAAAACTTGGTAACGCTGATGCGAAATTTAAATGAGTGATCGGACATGCGCTCATTTACTTTTACACTCAAATTAAAGCTCGTATTTCTAATCGCATCACCCGGAATTCTATGCTTTTCATTTAAAAATCCTTTTCTGAAACATTTGGAAAAACTGCAAGAAAAATGTTAGTTAAAAACTGGAATTAATAGATCCTGTGTTTTCATTTAAAATCCCAAATAAACTCAACATTGAAGAAAACGTTTTGAAAGCCGCTAAAGAATTTAATACATTTTTTAAGAAAAATAACAATTGATCGTTAAAGTTCAATTTGGGTTAATCAGTAATCATCAGCAGTCGTTCCTAGTGTATGGTCATCGTAAAAGCCCTGAAAGGAGGGTGCTATTTAAGTATTGTACGGGATGTGTTGTGTTATATTTTGTTCCATCACCTTAAACAATTTACTCTTGGTAATTCTTAGTTGATAGCATCTCTTCCCAAAGTGGATGTATATTTTTCACTTTTTACTAAATTAACATCCTTAAATAAATTTCTATGTCATAAGAAGATGCCATAGAAATAGCCCGCACCGGAGCTGATTTTGGCCAACGCTTCTTTTAATTAATTATAATGCTCATTATCAAGACACCTACTGCGTTACATTACAAATGTGAATCACTTACAATATTTCTAACTTGGACAGATTTTTGAACCTCGGCAAGCGCTGAAGTTTGTTACTGGAGAGAAAGCTAAAGTAATATATAGAATGAAAAAGAAGTCAGTTGATATAGAATTTGAGATTCTTGGAAAGGTTCTTGTTCTCTCCGAATAGGGAGGACTTTATTGAAATAAAACCCAATTGGTTCTGGCAAAGCTATTTTGAGGAATTATAAAATTTTACACATTTTTGCTAAGCACATAAACTGTTTACTCCTAATGCTGAGAATTTAGGTAAAATATACCATTTGCACGTTCATAGTTAACATGGGCGTTTTCATATCATGACATCACTTTTCAGTACTGATGCACCAAGCTACGATAGGTCGCTTACATTACAAATCAATCTTAACGGAGTTCCCTGGTTAGTCAGCGAAAAACTTATAGTCATAAGTTACGTGAAAATAAAGGCTGTGTGAGACAATTGAATTTAATATTGACCTCTTTCTTTCAATTGTTCTTGATTACCAAAGCCACCAAAGTTAGCATTATTTAAAGCCAGTTGAGCATATGGAATTTACTTTCATATGCAACTTGAAATAATCCCAAAATCCAAATTCGCGAAGCTCTGTTTTTAAATGGTCATAATGCAAGTTTGCTGTAAGCGCTATGAGAAACTGTGCATTATATTTCCCTTTGCTGTGGAGTTTGTACGGAATGTCACTTACAGCCTTTTCATCTGAGTGAGGTTGCCAAAAATATCCATGGGCAGACGCTGAATTTTGTTGTTTGACAAATTCCTTAGAGTATATATCGAGATAAAAGTAAGCTGAATAACAACTAAAGAACTTAAATCCTATTTTAAGAATGGGCTGAGAGTCCGTCCCTTAGGTCTTCTGGTATGAGCTAAACAAGCCGCCAAACGAGCCAACCAGTTGTACACCGCAACGTGTTTTTAGATTTAAATTAGGCGAATGGAGATACCCCGATACCCCTGATCCCACAACAACAATGGCCAGGAATAACCAATATGTAGCAGATTCACCTAGTGAAAAAAAACTCCATGCAGTAAACTGATAGACGTTTCGTTTGAGACAATAATTAATGTAGGCCCACCGTACGCATTCTGAGATCTAAAACCAAATAGCACTACTCATTGAATCAATTCATCTGCTGATTAATTATCTATATTGTGCCTGTAGCTTTGCTTTTCTTTGCTTTTCTTTTCTTTTTTCTTTTTTTTTTTTACAATTAGTTTTACTTACAGTTCTGTCAGGTTGGTGTTGTTGCTAAGTAGTCCTCGAGGCAAAAACTGCAACTGATTGTAGGACAAGTCCCTAGCAATAATATAAACGGGGAGCGAGGTGAATAGAACAAGTCAAAAGTTGCGGGTAACAAAATTTTTAAAGTAATGGGACAAATGTCCGTGACTAATATAAGTTTTCAAGTGCTATAAACAGATGTTATGCCCACTATTATGGACATCGACTTTACTTGAACCGTATCGGGAAAATGATCTTGATATAAGTTTCGACTTTGACCTTTCCAGCGAAAATTACTGTATTTCTCGTCCAACAAAATTTATTCAACAACACTTTACTGAATTTTAAATCAGACACGGTTTGATGCACACTCCTGTCTAGTGCCTTCGTCAGGGGTGATGTAATCACTGCAACAAGAGGTCCTTTTATATGCTCACTAATTCGCTGCCCTTTTTTCTGACGAGGTGTAAATAGGCGTCAGGTAGTAGTAAGCCGCCATCGTCACGATTGAAACGAGCGTGGGCGGAGTTGAGATGCCGGTTTCCAAACAAAGGCGCTGGTGACGTCGATTAGTGGTAATAGTTTTAGACTCATCCCACCCAATTGTATGGTTAGTTAGGCACGTGTGCTCCGACAAAGCTAAATTTTCTTCGTTAAACTGTGCGAAAAACACCACCGACATACTCGTCTGAGTTCCTTTTTTCAGTTCTAAGCACAATTTGATGTCATCTGCGATTTATTACTAAACAGAACCACGACAACATCTACTCTATTTATTTATGTAAAAGGTGGAGAAGGTGTTGGGAAACAATTCCAATAGATGGTCCTTTTCATGGGGGCTTGATGTGTAATTCTCTAGACAACGTTTAAAATTAGAGGCTCACAAATTTTTGTTTAAAATTTGCGAAGATCAGTCAAGTCTCTCTGCCCCTCCTTCCCCCCTCCCCCCCCTCACCCACCTCAGCAAGCTCCTCATTCCCTGATATGCCTGTCTCGATTGCGCTCGGCAACTTTTGAGCACCTTTTGGCGTTAGGAGCACACTTTTTGCGGTTCTAGCAACCTTGAGCAATTTGTGCCTTTCTGAGCAATTTTTATGCACAAGATAGGTTGTTACTTACAATTCTTCCAAGGCAGACAATTCAAGAAGTATTTCACGTGATAGCTTTTCTAGCTGATTGCCGCTCAACCGCCTACATTGGGAGAATAACAAAATAAAATTTAATTTTAAATTGAGCAAAATGTATTGAATTACAGTTTGTATTGGTAATCACATCATTTACTATTGAACTTTGTTGAAATAAGTGTTTAATTAAATACGAACACATTTTTTAGACCAACAAAAGCCCCTTGGGTCACTTTTCAGTTTTTAGTGTGAAAAATTAATAAGTGATATAATACAGAAGAAAGAAGGAAAAAAGAAGATCAAAATATGTGAAATTCTTTCATTTGTTTTTGTTGATTTCTCTTGTTTTTAAGCCAATCAAAGCCCATTTGTAATTTTAACCTTGTGTTACAAATTTACAAACGAGTTACATGAGAAATGCAAGCTTTTGTAGCTGATCAGAGCCGTGTAATAATTTCGTGTACCTATGTAATTATCAGTGTAATAAATCAGAAATTGGCTATGAATTGATCACGGCAGAAGGCATTTTCAGAAAGTGGAGCCAAAGAAGTAAAATCAGTATGTGGTAAACTGGACAATGTTGTCTTTATTGAAGGCTAGGGAAGAGGTTCAGTTTGTCACTTATTGTATTTCATATTTTCTTCATGATTATGTAGTTTAAATGGAAAAGCCTATTTTATTTCCTTTGACTCTGATCAAAAATCGCACTCATCTTGTCGAGAAGTCGGTGTTAACTCATAAACCATTTCCACCTCCATTTCAGGACTACTTCCATAGGGACGATCTTAGAATATAAACCATGGCCACGCTCGGGTTGTTTGGAATTTTTAGCATGGTCAAGTCGGGTGAAATAAGTTCTTCCTTTTAAAGTTATTTTCTTCGCCTTTAAATTGGTTCTGTGAACCAAGACGACTCAAACAAACCAAAGGTCAGCAATGACGATTAAGTTATAGATACATTGTGTCTTGCTCTTTTGTTGGTCCTTCCAGTTAATGACTAACTCCTGATCAGAGATTGCAATTGACACTAAAGCCGACAGGTGAATATGCCACCAAGATAATCGGGTGGTGTAAGTGGACTAACTGAAGCGAGCTTTCCATACTGAAATGTTGGTCATTTCTTTAGTTCAGATTTTATTCATAGATGTATGAGCGGAAATTTTTCCGCCGATTAGTTAATAAGCAATCTAGTATCACTCACAGATATTTTAGTTTATCTTGCCCCGCAAACAAGTTTTCAGGTAACTCTTTGATGTTGTTGTTTCCCAGCCACCTGTAAAATGCGCAATTCGTTTCTTAGCTTCAGTCTGTCATGCCATGTAATTGGTTCTGTCGCTGAGGGTAAGCATAGAAATCTACCTACAGTATACTTTCAACAAGGACAATTCTAAGTATGACTGAATGACTAATATCGGTAATCATGAAATTGATGATCCCAGTGTTTTGGGGGCGTTCAGCTATCGATTAATTTTTCAACCGACGAGAATTAGTGTTTCGGGGGTAAGGGGGTGGAGAGATGGGGGGATGGGGGGATATGTTTCAAGCCCCCGTTTTTGAACATTTGTTCTAGAAGATTTATACCAGCACTTTTAATTTTTCAAGTTCAGTTTGTTAGTGGGAATTCAATTTCATTTTCAAACAAACGCTAAAAAACCTTTTTGGGAAAATGGGAAATCAATCCAACTCAGCGGAAGTCAACTTTCTAAAGCTTCAAGACCCATCACTTACAGATCTATTATCTTGAAACGCTGGAATATATCAGAAGGAAGAGTCTTCAGTTTGTTGAAGTCCAGGGTTCTGTGTAAAAAGATATCGACATAAGGAGAGCAACAGATACGTTGGAATCTTAAGACGACACAACATTTCGGATTTTGAAGGACATGCTTCAACAGTTTGTCTGTCATCTTAAGTTTAATTTTCTTTGTTTTTGAATGGTTTTACTTTTTCACTTTTTCACTGTTATACTTTAAGATGATTGAACTGAGAAAAAAAACTGTCGAAACATATATTTCAGAATCATAATTGTTATGACTTTTTTTAAAATGCAATGTGTCTTCTGACAATGTGGATGACCTCTAAAACTTTTTGAAATCAGTTTTGAACCTACAGAGGACGCAATAACACTAACAAAATGCTCGAATATATGTGGCTGTTAACGGCTCGTCTTTGTGGTTTAATTGGCTGTTTCAAGTCCGAACTGCAAGAGGTGCATGTGTTCTTGAATGTCCCTCTAACCAGTACAGAGCAAACGTAGCAGACGGGGCCTAAATGCACCTGTAACGTTTTACTACAGAGAAATGTTTTCAGAAGGAGGTAAGTAAATGATTTCCTGTAACCAGAAATATAAATAAAAGGATCTGTGTGGCATATCGTGACTAAGTTTTAGTTCTTACGAAGGGACCCCTGAGAGTTTCACCTCTCATATAAATTTGCGTTCATGAAAGTCGAAAGTACAAATCTTTTGAGGGTTTACGGTTAATTCTTTGGCCATTGAATGTTTGACCTTTGACTTCAATCAGCGGCTACAACTCGAGCTTCTAAGACCTCGGGCTCAACTGAGTGACTTTTAAGAACAACAGTGAAAAAATGAGTCAATGTATTATTGTTTTATTGACGTGAAGGGGGCGAAAAGAAACCACTGGAAACTCATTATTTTGCTCTCTAATAAGCGCGAAATTTGAGTTTACAATCTTAATTTGAATTTTACCTAAATTACAACTATATTGACGAGAATCGGATTTCTGAAAATAAGAACGAATTAAATTGATTTGAAATTATTAGTTTTGGGTGCAACATTGTTGCCCGATGACTTAACCAACATTAGGAAGAAAAACATGGCTCGAGAAGTAAACATTCAAAAAAGCAATTCAAAAGGATAATACTCGATTTATCTGGAAAATGTTGGTAAGAACTTATTCATTTTCTTAAATTTTCATCCTTTAAAAAAAAACAGTTTACACTTGCTTGACCTTGAGCATGCCTCACCAAATAAAAAATATAAGATTATCAAATAAGGGATGTTTCTTATAATGCTAGTGTAAATTTTCTCTACAGTTTAATATTCAGTGGTTTTAATTTTCGGCCCCCGTCTTGTAAAAGGTTGTGTTGCTAAATGCAGTAAGGATCTTCAGCTTACTCATCTAAAGTAGAATGAAAATCCAAAAGCGCTTAATTGACAGAGTGGTTTGGTATTATCAACTGTGTTTATTAACTCATTTGATAACTACAAATTACCCTGTTATACTCTCTCACCGACGCAGCACCGTAGTTTCTTTAGAAACTTACCCACTTAACTTAACTTACAGGTTTTCAAATATGGGCCAATGCTGCCGTTTAGGTAGTTGATCAGAGAACAAATACTTTAAGTTGTTGTTGTTCAGGTATCTGCATCGTCAACAAAGAAACAGTATTAGTGGAACATTAACGGCCTAATTTGGTTTCTTCTGCTTTTATTGATAAAGACTTAAAACACAGACTGAAACATTTGCAGACCCCTCGTTGAATGTTAAAATATGAACAATTGAGTCATTATGATGAGAGATTTTCGGTAACTGAGTCGAGCACAGACTGATTGGCTTCTTGCATTCTCCTGGCGGATGGAGTTTATATGGAATATATGAAAATAACAAGAGAAAAAAGAGGAAAAAACTAACTTCTGAATAAAAAAAAACTACACGTCTTTTGGTGCTCCTTCTTTTTTTTAATTTTTTTTTAAGAGATTAAAACCTACTGCGACAGGAGCCCATCACTTGGACTCCCGACTGCGAGACATTACTGCGAAAATCACTCTCATCTTCAGACGATAAACCGTATATAATTCTTACGAAAACCTCCTTAGGAAAAAAGTTTTGATATTTTAAGCAATATCTGGCACAAACAATGCCTACTGCGGGTCTAAATTAAAGTTTCCTTTTCTCCAAGTACTTTTACCGCATGGTATGACGTCAATGATACTATGGGGTTTTTCAGTACGGAAGGAAAATTCACTTACTCGATTCTGATCTGTTTGACAATTAATTTATACGATAAAACTTAGATTAAAAGCGTTATCCCCTGCCTGCCCAACTAGATTTGCTTCTGTCCCCATAGTTGTGCTATTGTCTTCTGTTCAAATATCTGGGGGGTGGTACAATGGCCGAAATTTTTGCCAGAGTACATGGAGTAATTAAAATAATTCAAAATGGCGTTTGTCGTCGGGCCATACTTAAGTTTTTTTATAAAATATTGCGAAACAAATTTTTGCCGCCAAAAATCGCGTTAGCACTCAATGCCCGCTCACAAAACTCAGGTTTGAGGGAGGGAGAAACACAAGATGTAGTCGAGTGTTCCTCCCCACTAGTTCATAAATACATGCAATTTTTTTCACATGAAAATTACAAAACAAACTGCTTATGGTGTGTGTTTTATGAATACACGACATCCGAATTCACAGGAGCATGAAGATTGCCAGGTATGACAGCGCCGTAAAACCCGCCTTCTGTGACCGATGTGGCCTTCCACTCGACGCATTGGAAAGGATATCAAGGTAAGTTCTTGGTTTTTCACTCGAGGGGCGGCCGATGTAATTTCCGAGGCTTTCCTCACTGCGATGACCGGATATCGCCATGAGGAGCTAGCTGCGATGGATCTCCGCATGATTACAGTCGCTCTGACACCGTCATGATTAGCACGAATTTTAACAGTTATGCCAGTTTGGCTATATTTCTCATCATTCCTTTTCTATTCTGTTTTTTTTTTTTAACACGAAACTATATATGCTAGTTATACGAGTGTTAACTGTGTTTGAAAACCCTCAAAACTTTGACTGTCCATTTCGTTTTCTCTTTGAGGATTTTCGTCTCTGCTCAAGTTAAAATAACGTAAATTACGGCGCTTGGCATGTTTACAAACCTTTTTTGGTTCTTCTGTCGCTACTTGCCGGCTCGCTTGTTCCGAAATTTCTTTTAAATTAACGAAAAAAAGCAAGAGAGAAGTCCCGGAAAAGGTCGAACATATTACACTTTGGCAGCTCAGCTCTATGCTGACAGCGCGCGTTATATCCGAACTACATTATAAATTCTGATAGATACTGTATTTTTCAAAGCGTTTCAGGTGGCCGCCTTATCAGAATTTACGCGTAAACCCATGGCAACGTTAACTGGAGCTTGCATTGTAATTGATTCACAAGGTTGAATTTTCCTCACGAATTAAGAAGCACAAGATGGGGACTCCCTGCTTCTTGCCTTGTTTTTTGAAATACGCAGGAGCATGTGGTAGCTTAAGAGGTGTAACACGGTCTATGAGTCTTAAAAGTTTTGGTGAATCGTTTTTTAGCCAAGGCAGCCCTGCAAACTAATCGCAATTGAAGAAAGGCAGAAAAGCTACGGCCTCCGGTTTACATCGGAACTCAGTGTATTCAGCTCCATTGAGACATACTGTCATTGCTTCCCTCCCCCCCCCTT